CATCCGGGAGACCAAGTAGCAATTGAGGATACATTGAGCCAACCTCCCACTGGCAGATACACTGCCAGTGGAACCACCACAGGAACAATCTAACAGTTTTAAATTTCTGGACACACTTCCAATCACAGCTGACAATATCAGACTTTGGATGCAGAGAGATCTGGTCCTGAAAAAACTGGAAGAGCTGGTGGTGAGGGAGGGAACCAAAGAGCCATCACAACCAGAATTGAAACCTTTCTGGACCTGGAGAAACCAGCTCACAGTAGAGGACAGCATATTATTTTGGCAAGCAACAGTGATTGTCCCAAGCAAAGGTCGCTGCCAGATACTGGCTGAACTCCACCAGGGTCATCCAGAGGTTTCCAATATGAAGATGTTGGTGAGAAGTTATGTCTGGTGGCCAGGATTAGATGCAGACATAGTTGCATTGGTGGGGCAGTGCCAGAGTGCCAACAAGGACAAAAATTACCCCCAGCAGCACCCCACATTCACAGGAATGGCTGAGTCAACGCTTGACTCTGTTACACGTTGACTATGCAGACCCACTCAAAGCGACTGGCCATGCACAGAGTGCATTTGTCGAACACGTTACGACAATAGAAGAATCGTGCACATCTTTTGCAATACACTGACTCCCAGAAGTGCTGGTCACAGACGACAGGCCATCGTTGACCAGCAGGGAATTTGAATATTTCCTAAAGTCAAAGGGTATTCATCATACAAAGACACTCCATACCAGCCATCATCCAATTGTCTGACAGAAACAGCAGTCTATACTTTGGAGGGGTTAAAGAAGCAGCCTACAGCCTCAGTAGATACTAAAAACTGTCCGATTCTTTATTTACTGATTCACCCCAAATGCAACTACAGGGATAGCTCCAATAGAGTTGCTAATGGAGAGAAGACTCCCCACCAAGTTAACATTTGATTTTTCCAAACCTTGGAGGGGAAGGGGGCAGAATCTGGAAATCAATGCCGGACACAAGACTCTGCTATACAAGATAGAGAGTTTACTTTGGGGACAAAGTCTGGTGTAGGAACCACAAGAATGGCCCTGTGTGGTAAGAGGCATTGTCAACACGAGGTCCGGTCCAGTGATGTATGAAATTCGGATAGGTGAGATGATCCTGTACAAACACATGGACCATATGAAAGCTGCAAACTCAAAAACAGTGCAGGAGCAAAATGCACCCAGCTCCTCAACTGCCTTTCCAACTGTTATCCCTCTCCATCAAGAGTTGAAGATATCTCAGAATCTGAGCTAGACCTGGTGGATGTGGCCATCTTGAAGCCTTTGCCACCTGAAAGGGAGAATGAATTTCTTCCAAGATGCTCCAGGTGCAAGAGGCGAGCTACTGTGCGTTACATGCCACCTGTATCAGGAGTGGAGTTGGGAGGAACCTGACCCAGTGCTAAAATGCTCCAGGAGGAGCTACAAAAAAAAAAAGGGAACAGGCCTATGTCATTAGACTCTAAAGGTGAAGCGATATAGTAATTGTAACAAGATCACCCAGGTGGACCTCACCGAATGTGAGCTCCCTGACTGAGGCTGTAAATCTGGTCTAATCTGAGAGCCTTGGATGACAGAAATAAACAGGAGTGTCAGAGGTTCTTTTCACAGTGAGGGCTGGCTCTGAAGAAACTTGATTAATGTCAAGGACTTTCCAGGTGTAAATAAAGAATGATTTGATAATGGGATACCGGCCTTTGTGGTATTACAATTATTATTTATTTACTCTGCCTACTTGAGTGGCTTCCTGTACCACTGCTTTATTGTTATTCACCTTGCAGCACCGACTCCCATCTATAGAAGCTGCAGAAACCTTGAATCTGTTGGCCAACTGCAATCAGGTCAATTATACAGAAACCATACATTTCCATAAGCGTATTTTTTTTTGTTAAGACAAGTTTCAACATGATATGGAGTGATAAAAGAACCGAGCCACATTCATGCCCATCACAGCCTGGACAAGATTTTGGTGCTTTGTGTTTCAATAAAAGTTACTACTAGTGTTACATCTCTTCTTTGGACAGTGTAAGGAAGGTAAGGGAGACTAGGACCAAAGGGTAACTGGTCTAGAATCAATTGAGGTTGTTACATCTGAAGAAACGAACGTCAAACTGGTGGAGACCACAATATTTTGCTCATTTCTGATAACCAAGGAACAAGAGTGTACATAATAATACTTACTACATTAATGCTTTATGATTTGGATAACTTCGAATTGCTTCATCTGAATTCTACAATAACAAACTTATCCATATGCCACAATTCTGTTTCAGCTTTGAACAAATCACTCTTCAAATATTAATCTGCTATTTTGTAAGAATCACCTCACTATGTAAATGAAACATCAGCTCTGGAAGGGAATAAAGAGACCAACCAAGCATTCAGAAGTCATGAATTAAATCAGGAAAAAGGAATTTATCGTAAGAACCATTGCATTAAACTTTTACATTATCATCTGAAACACTAATGAGGTGGCCCCAGAGGACAACTGTTGGTTACATATTCAGCACAATCTGTCCATGATCAACGACAGTAAAGCTCCATCAATAGCATTATGTTTACTCACATAGGAAAGCCAGATAGCAGCAAATTACTGCAGATTCTGGAATCTGAACTGAAAACAAAAATTGCTGGAGATCACAGTGGTTCAGGCAGCATCCATGGAGAGAAAGCAAGCTAACATCGAGTCTAGATGACTCTTCATCAGCCAGATTTGCTCAGAATAGCTTTGATACACAATTGTATCAACACTGATAAAATGGAAAACAGGCCACGCATCATTAACCTTGGCTGGTATTTTGGTATCAATATGGTACAAGAAGATCATAAGTCATACATGAGCCAATGTATTAAGGCTGAACTTGGACAGATTTTTGGGTAAGAGAATCAAATAGACAGAAAAGTGAAATTAATGCACACGTTCAGTCATGATGTTACTGAACGGCAGAGGAAACTCAAAAGGCCACCTGGCCTATGCCTGTCCCTATTTCTTCTGCTATGAAGAAACGCTGTCCAAAGAATAATCATGTATGCTCTATTTACAGATGTTGACCAACCTATTCGGTGATTTTAGCAGAGTTTTATGCAGAACTTAACTATTAAATCCTTGTTTTTTTAAAAACACATTTATTTTAAACTGCAATGCCTATTACACTGAAAGTAATTCATTCTCTATAAAGAGTTGTGGAAGACGCTATTCAAATGCAGGTCATTTCACCGCCACCGCCACCCCCCGCCCCCCCCCACCCCCCTCCCTTTTCACTCTTCTTCCTTCATTGTACAGATATATCCTTCCCTAGGTGAAAGAACAGGAAGAGAACCCATTTCAAGAAAGCTGGCAAGGTGATCCATGGCTAGATACCATGAAAAATGCACACAATGTCCATTTACTATTGATTCCTCAAACATTCTTCCTTTCTGTGGCACTAGAATGTCTCTCAGTCCAGCTCACAACGATTTTTGTAAATTAAAAGCTTATCTGGCCTTCAATCTTCTATTAATGCTCCCATTGTTTGAGATTATCCAATCACCGGAAAAAGTCTTTGCTTACTTAACCCACCCCACTCTTTAGTTTTAAGCACCTCCATCGAATCAACATCCTCATCTGTATTAATATGAATACCCCTGATTTTCCAACCATTTCCTTTTTGTCACATCTGTGGTGTCCTGAGAACAGCAAGTGCCTCATTAGTGCAAATTCTTTCTTTCTACACCCATAGTTTGATAGAGTCAGTATCAAAAAAAAATCTCATCCAATTGATCTTTTGAATTCCTGCTTGTTTGCACTGTCATACCACCTTCAGTTAATTCCTACCTCAATATCTAAATTTTTCCCAGCAGCATTTATGTAACCTGCAGCACAGATAAGTTTCAGCTTGCAAGTACGCTGTTGGTGCATTTAATACAAACAAATCTTCTGACAGTTTAGTATTCTTCTCAGAATACAGTATTCTTGTAAAGTTGATATCGACAAATTAATTGATTGATTGATTTCTGATACTTTTTGAATGGTGTTTCACTTAATTTCTTTGTATTTTGCCAATATAACCACATAACACATTGCAACAAGTTAATAACATGAAACTCCGAGATGTTTCCATGTGACAAAGCAAGTATTATTGTACCAAAGGTACACAGAATGTAACAAGACATACCTTCATGACATATCCAAAAATCTTCACGAAAATCTAATATGGCCACCTAGGCAGCAGCACATAGGACAGAATTCATTTATAATAGACACGAAATAAAATACATGGGTTTGCAGCAGATGCAATATACATGACTTATGTTTCTTGTATAAGTGATAGTGTCTTATTTAACCTCATTTCAATGTGTCATTAAGACCTCAAAATTCCTTTTTTCAAAAAAGGTCAGTTTAATCCATTCAGTTTCCACAGTTTATATGATGCTTTCCCCATCCATGTCTGAAAATTAAGACTGTATAGAGTGTACATCCCTTTGTTAGAATATACAGCTAAATTTACTTGTTTGACCATATCTCATGCTTACAAAAACATACATATGAATTTTAACACAATGAGGGATATCAAGCATACCATTGTCATTGTGGTCACTGATTGACTTATTACAATAAGCAAATATCTTTCAACAGGCTTTTAGCTCTATTTTATTCAATAAGTGAGAAAAATCAACTCCATAGTGATAACAATCTCAAATATAGCCTTAAAGATTTTTCAATTCTAATAAAAGTCAATGGCACATTTACCAATTCTCATTAAAAGTTGTGAAGTTCTTCCCAAGCAGATAATGTTCCTCAATGCAAACATTTCTCAACAAATTCCCAGATATTAATGAAATTAAGCAATTACATTTGTAAGTCACTAACTTTAGGATCAGTACAAAAGTCTAACAGATGCATTTCTAAACAAATTAAACATTTATTCCTGATACAACACAGGAAAATTTTAAATTAAAAATCCTCTACTGCAGTAGAAAATACTGTAAAGAAGATAATCTTTTGGTTCACCTGTTGGAGCTGAGCTTTGGTGATGCGAATGATAGAAGGCAGCTTGGTGTGGCCTGGAATGAAGGGTAGCTGCCTGCGACCAGGGGAGCGTGAATGACTGCTCTCAGCTGACTGGCTCCTGTGCAAATCTGACTGCTTCCTGAGAAGTGGATCCGAATCAGAGGATAGGAATACTACAGGACTGAGGGATCGGAGGGGATTCTGCATCCTTGGAGTGTTGGGATGTGGCAAATGAGTTGTGTTCAGCTGTGAGAACATACGGATGGGAATATTGGTGAATTTAAGATTATGGCTGTTTTCTGCTCACATGAAAAAATAAAGCAGGCAAACTATAGGAACACTCATACACTTCAAAACTACTTCTACATATCCAATTCACACAGAATTCAATCTGGAATGATATCAGTGTTCATAATAAAAAGCTAGATTGGTAAAAACAAATTTTCATTCAGACATATAACCAAGCATGCACTGAATTGCAACTCAAAAACAGACAATGCAGCGATTTTATAGCAGACTGACAATGAATGATTGAAGAAAGGCTCTATCAAGAACCAGAAGATGCTCAAGACAACATTGAAAGCACACTTTGTTTTTATTTCCAAACTTTTAGATCACTTCGTTCTTGTACTTATTCCTACTGGGGTAGTTTCTCAGATATTAGCAGCTCAGTCAGCTCTCCCAGGTGGCCATTCTTTCCATGCAAGGCTAGATTTAGAAGGTGAGGGCTCTTATATTGCAGTGCCTCTAAGCTAGAAAACTTGAGTTCAAGGCCCACCTGCTCCAGAGGTGTTTGATAACATGTCTGGACAGGGTGATTAGAAAATACCTCAACTTAGGTGAGATTTTAATCTATGCAAAACCCATGCACTTGCAGAGTTACATACTGCCGCAAACTATACAGTGCTTTAACACTCAAGTCTGCTCAACATTCACGGATGTGAACATAGCCAGTGTCGCAGAATGAGGATCATGATCTAGAATCCCTGTTCACGCATGATTAGATAATTTTCCACATGCTAAAGTCTGCCCTGCCTGAGATTGGCTGCTACAGCAGATTGTTGGCCTGGATATTTCAGCATTGCACAGCATGGAGCCTTTATTGCTAAAACCTGTGAAAAACAATTGCTGCACTGTGTCCAGTAGTGATTCTGTCAGCAGTATGGCATCACTTCAGAACCCAATGCCAGTACATCATAATTAGAGAGAGAGGTGGTTCTCCAGGGCCAGATGAAATATATTCCAGATTGTTAAGTGAGACAAGGGTGGAATAGGAGGGGTGCTTGCAAAAATTTTCAATTCCACTGTAGCTCTAGGAGATTTTCATGAGGACTAGAGGACAGCCAATGTGGTACCTTTATTAAAAACGGGAGCAAGGTATAAACCAGAAAACCACACAGTCTGTGTAACTTCAGTGGTGGGGAGCTATTGGAAGCAATTGTGAAAGACAGAACTAATCTTCATTTGGAGAGAAAGGGATCAATCAAGAACAGTCAGCATGGTTTTGTTAACGAGGAGTCATTTCTCACCAACCTGATTGAATTTTTTGAAGAGGTGGCCAGGGTTGTACATGAGGCCAGTGCTTTTGATATAGTCTACTTGGATTTCAGAAAGGCTTTTAATAAGGATTCACATTTAGGGTATACTTGCATTGGAGAAAGTACAGCGAAGGCTCGCTAAATTAGATCTTGGGATGAGGGGATAAAAAGCTCAGTAAACAACATCTATATTATCTGGAATTTAGGAGAATGAAGGGTGATCTCAATGAAAGGTTCAAGTTTCTGAAGGATCTTGCTAAGATGGACAGAGAGATTGTTTCCACTGGGACTAGCTGTTTTTGACTTGCATAGACATGATAGGCTAAAAGGCCATTTTCTGTGCTGTAGATCTTTCTGACTCAATGACACTTATAGGGGTGACCTGTACCTGGTTACGTAAAGTGACATGTACTTGACCATACTAAGCAGCCCATGCCTGCTTACAAGATGGCAGACAGAAGCTAAGCAAAACTAAGCAGCCTGCTCACACAGTGAAATACAATGGTACCTTTAAACAGAACTGCTAGAAGGTCATAAAAGAACGTTGTATGTTCCCATCCAAGACAGTTCTGATAAAAGGATGCTTTAGGGCAGATAAATAACCGATTCTAGCCTTATTAATGAAAGGATGATTGAACCAGTAAATGAATAACACCAGGTGCTTGATTAAGTCCGTCCTTAAGCAGCTGCAAGGATAACAGCTAAAGTTATTTCATAGTAAATAATTGCTTCCTTGAAGCTACCTGCAATATTAGATAGTTTCTAGCTAAAAATGCTCTAACCATAGAAATTGGTTTCAATACATAACTAGAATATAATATAAGCCTTAAAAAATCATTTAAGCTTAGATGTGAAGGTTAACTAGCCTTAGGAGATGCCTTCACTTATACCTAGAACAAGATAGATTGCTCACAACCCAGGAATTACAAAATGCTAACAGCACAAGTAGTTGTATAACATTACACTTATAATTAACTTTATAATGGACGTTAACCTTACAGCAATTGGTTAAAACTAACTGACTTTTCAGTTTTACATTATGTAATTGGGACAGTGGGAAAATAAAAGGAGTAACTGAATGTGATAAAAGACAACACCAAAATAAAATGGGTAATAGAATTCGAGCTGTCCTTACAGATAAACAAGCCTGAGAAAGACCTGAAAGGAGAATAGCCATGAACTTTTTGGACTGTGAATGAATAGGATGCATAGGAAGTTCCCAATGCCTAGAGGTTACAATGCGTAGCTCACATCGTAAGATCATGGGAACCTGGGGCTGTCCATAAAAGTGCCCATCATTGATTAGGTGTCTCATGGGATTGGGTGTTTGGATTGAGGGGAAGGACAGTGAATATGCTGCGTTTGATTATTGTAATACAGTATGTATAAAAATGCTGTATTTCTTTGTGAAATTAGAGGGTGTATCATTGATCTATCCTCCAAAGCCAGATTCTGGGAAGATCCTTTGGCCATCTTCCACTTGTCTGAAACCTGTCTGCCTCCCGGAGTCTTTGTTCCTGGTTGGCAAAAACGCTCCTACAACACTGGTCAAGGAATCTAAAACACAGAGGCACAGACTCAGGATAAGGGGAAAGCTTTCAGGACTGAGAAGAGGAGAAATTATTTCACTTAAAGAGCTGCGAATCTTTGGAACTCAGTGTTGTGCAGTCTCCATTGTTGAATATATTTAAGGCTGGGATAGACAGATTTTTGGTTTTTCAGGGAATCAAGTATGAAAAGTGGATAGGGAAGTGGAGTTCAAGTCCTAGGTTAGCCTTAGGTGTACTGAATAGAGGAGCAGGCTGAGGTGTTGCATCATCTACTCCTGTTCCTATTTCTTATGTTTGACTTGGGAGTATGAGTGCTTCCTTGGACTGGCCCTTGCCACTTCCATGTAATGTAAACAATCTTCTCATTTTGTGCTATCATTTTTAACTTTTTATATACATTCTCCCTCAGATTTCACTTCTCTACAACCCTTGTAAAATTGCAGCATTTGGTTTGTATTAAAGTCTCTTCACTTTCTTAGCAAAATATATCATTTTACACTTCCTTTTGTGCATTCATTCATAGCATGTCAGTGTTGCTGGCTGTGCCTGCACTTACTGACAAAACTCAATGGTCCTTGAGAAGGTGGTGGTGAGATGTCTTCTTGACTGCTGAAGGTCATGTGGAGGTAGTGAGACCCACAATGCTGAGAAGAAAGGGTGTCGCAGGATTTTGACTGAGCGACAGTGGAAGAACAGCAATATATTTCCAAATCAGGATGATATGCAATTTGGAAGTCAACCTACAGGTGGTGCTATTCCCATGGATCTGTTGCCCTTGTCACGTGAGATGGTACAAGTCACAGGTTTGTAAAGTGCTGTCGAAGGAATCTTGGTGACTAAATGCAATGCATCTTGTAGACTGTACACACTGCTGTTACTGTCAGTGATGAACAGAGTGAATGTTGAAGGTGAGATGGGGTACCAATCAAGCTGCCTGGTTTGTCCTGAGTATTATTGACCTTGGGAGTGTTCGTGGAGCTACAGCCAACCAGACAAGTGGGCAATATTCCATCTCCACATGACTTGTACCTTGTAGATCATGGGCAAGCTCTGGGGAGACAGGATGCAAGTTGTTTACCACAGACGTCCCAGCCTCTGACCTGCTGTTGTAACCACGATATTTATATGGTAGGTCCAGTTAAGGTTCTGATTGATGGTAATCCCAGAGGAGGCTGATAGTGGGAAATTTAGCAATGCTTGTGAATGGGATGGTTAGATGCACTTTCATCGGAGATGCTCATTGTCTGGCATCTGCATAACATAAAATGTTACTTGCCATTTATCAGCCCAAGTCTGGTCGTTGTCTGGGACTTGCTGTATATTGACATGGGCTGCTTTAGTATCTGCAGAGTCAATGATTAGTATTGAAAATTGCACAATCAGCAGTGAACATCTCCACTTAGAACAGGGGGAAGGTCACTGATGAACCAGCTGAAGACGGTTGTACCAAGGACACTACCCTAGGGAACTGGAGTAGAAATGTCCAACTGTCTGTCCATTTTACAATTGACTTCTCAATGAAGTATGCCTCCATGTTTTGCTGCTGAAATCCTCATTCGTGACTCTGTCACCTCTGCACACCTAACACGCTCTCCTTTCTATAAACTTGATGTCATCCAAATTTCTGTGATTCATGTCTTGAACGACCCCAAGGTCCCAGTTATCCATAACACCTATCTTTGTTAACCTACATTAGTTTCTGTTTAAACAACAGATCACTCTTTAAATATTCACTCTCCATTTCAAATCCCTCCATGGACTCAACTCCCCACCTCCATGACCTCCTCACAGATTAACAGCACACATCAAATTTTGGTCTCCTGAAGCATTCCTAGATTGCATCTCTTTGTCACTTCAGCTGCTAAGGCCCTAATCTCTGGAAATTCCCTTTCTCAACATCTTCATTCTTTTTCCTTAAAGCACCCCTTAGAACTTACTTCTATGACCAAGCTTTTGGTTCCCTGTCCTAATATCTATGTGCAAAGATGTCAAATTGTTTTGTACAGCACTGCAAAAAGATCCTTGGGATTTCAACGTTATTAAGTAAGCAACGTAAATACAAATTGTTGTTATGATTTCTTGTTTGCAACATTTGTAACAGTTTCTGGTCATCTGCAGATTTAGAAATTATATCCTGAATTGCCAAGTTTAGGCCATT